GACTGGCTGGAAAGAGCTGGAGGTTGTGGAAGGAATTTGGGCTGGCCACCAGAAGGCCTAATGCTACCATGTAGCCATCAGCGACTAGGGGAACTCCAGGAGGAGGTCACCTCACTGAGCCTCTGTTGTCTCCTCTCAGAGGTTGGAGGGGGCGAGGCACTGGCTGGTGCTTCCACATCTAATCTCCAAATCCGTGAACGGCCGCCAGAAAGATGGAGAGACGGGTCCTTGCTGGACACACTCCCATTGGTGCTAAACTACCACAGCTGTGGCCTTGCTGGGCGCTGTGGGCCCTGCCCTGGCCCCAGGCTGCCCTGAGTGGGGAGCACATCCTCAGCACCCTGCTGTGGCAGCTGCAGCTCTGAGAGGCGCCCGTCCTGGATGCAGGTGACATGGAGGAGCTGGTCACCCCTGCGACAGGGACCCCTGGGTATGAGGACAGCTGCATCTCGGGGGAAGGGGGTCTCTGTCTGCCCCGAGCGCCCCCCGCCGCTCAGGCCCAGGGGGAGCTGCCCCATTTCCAAGGCTGAGGCAAGAGAGGAACGACCTGGGGTTCAGGGCTCCCCTCTGCTATTTGTTGTCCTGCCCTAGACGAGTCCCCCCACATCTCTGAGCTTGTTGGCTTCTCTGGAAACGGGTGTGAACCGGCTCTGATTCCCTCCCAGAGTGGGGGACAGCTTGTGAGATCAGAGGGAAGGCTGATTCCATCATTTTCAAGGTCAGCCTGTGGAGAGGTGAATGGCACTGCACCCTCTCACCTCCGTGGGGCTGGGGTTCCCCTCCTCAGTGCCCAGGGACGGACCCACACTTGGTGCTTTCCAGCTGGGAGGGTGGGTGCCTGGAGGCCGGTAGACTCAGGTGTCGGGGACACATGGCCTGGGGCCTGTGAGGGGGCTGTGGGGCCTGTCCCACCACTGGCCTCCAGAGTCAGTAGCCCTGCAAAAGCTGGTTACAGGCCCCACAAAAGCCAGTTCCTCCAGCTGGAGACATCTCCCTGGGCATGAGAAGGAAATGAAGGGATTTCAGGGCTCTTGCTCTGCCTCTGAGGCCACTCAGCTGGTAACCAGAGATCTCCGTGGCAGGGTTCTCTGCCTCTCTCTCTCTCCATTGGCCCTCCAGTTTTGTTGTGTCCTTTGCCCAAAGAAGGCTGCAGGTCCAGGGTCATGGCTGGCTCAGAAGGTGGAACATGTGACTCTGGATCTTGGGGATGGGAGTTTGAGCCCCCACAGGGCATAGAGATTATTTAAAAGTTAAAAAAAAAACCAACCCAAAAAACAAAACCAAACCTACCAGAAGTCTGCATGTCTGTGCACTTAAGACCAAGCCCTAGCCCCCACAGAGATCCCTATCCTGCGGATTCCTGGGGATCTCCCTGGGGACTCCCAGGGAAATGCTGTTGGCTGGCCCCAGATCCTGCTCCTCTCGAAGCCGCCTTGTGCTGGAGAGGCCTCCTGACCCTGTTCCTGTCCCCAGAGGTGGCAGGCAGGTGGCTGGCTTCTGAGGCCTCCACGCACCTGCTGGTGTTCAGCATGGAGCAGCGGCTGCCCCCCAACAGCGAGCTGGTGCGGGCGGTGCTGCGCCTCTTCCAGGAGTCCCGCTATGCAGGCATGAGTGGCTGTCCGGTATAGCACCCGCGTCCGCCCGCATCACCTTTGAGTGGCTGCAGGTCTGCAAAGACAGCTCCAACAGCACCTTGCTGGTGGACTCCAGGTGGGTGCTGCTAATGGGGAGGGGAGGGCAGGGGTGAAGAGGGTATGGGAGGGGAGGGGGTGTGTGGAGGTCGCAGTGGTGGGGGGAGGCGAGGGGAGTCCTAGCTGGGGAAGGTGGGGCAGGAGTCAGGGCGCAGCGGAGGGAGGGAGAAGTGGGGGTGCTAGCTCGGAGGAGGAGACAGGAGGGGAGGGGGCGGGGAGGGGGAAATGGGGTCCCCAGCACAAGGGAGGAGAGGGGAGGCTGGAGGAGGAACCCCTAGCCTCCAGCTCAGATCCCCATCTCAGCGCTGCCCTGTAGAAGGCTGGTGTCCCTCCACGAGAGCGGCTGGAACGCCTTCGACGTGACAGAGGCGGTGACCTTCTGGTAGCAGCTGAGCCGGCCTCGCCAGCCTCTGCTCCTGCAGGTGACGGTGCACAGGGAGCACCTGGGCCCGCTGGCCTCGGGCGCCCACAAGCTGGTGCGCTTCGCCTCCCAGGGGCGCGAGGGCGCGCGGCAGGGCGAGCAGCAGGGCGAGCCCCAGCTGGAGCTGCACACGCTGGACCTGGGGGCCTACGGGTAGGAGCCCGGGCCCCACGGGGGACCCCGATCACAGAGCACAGGGGTAACGCCAGCTCAGTCCAGGTGGGACATTTCAGGGTGCCCATGGGAGTGAGTGCCCGCAGGAGATTGTCCTTCAGTCTCAGGACAAGTGGCACTTGTGATGTACTGTTTGGCTGTTGGTAGTGACCGGTCCTTGCCACAAATAGTCAGCCTTTTGAACGTAAGGAGCAGCGCCGGATGGTAAAGATGCCCCACCCCCGCCCCGCCCCCACCCCCGCCCCGCCCCCCGCTGACCTCTGCCTTTCCTTACTCCCGCCCCCCTCGCAGAGCTCAGAGCGACTGTGACCCCGAGGTGCCCGTGACGGAGGCCACCCGCTGCTGCCGCCAGGAGATGTACATTGACCTGCAGGGGATGAAGTGGGCTGAGAACTGGGTCCTGGAGCCCCTGGGCTTCCTGGCCTATGAGTGCGTGGGCGCCTGCCAGCAGCCCCCGTGACCCCTGCCCTTCGAGTGGCCATTTCTGGGCCCGCGGCAGTGCATCGCCTCTGAAACGACCTCGCTGCCCATGATCTGAGCGTCAAGGAGGAAGGCAGGGCCAGGCCCCAGGTGGTCAGCCGGCCCAACAGGCTGGCCAGGGTGCAGAAGTGCGGCTGCTCGTGGGACGTGTGCCTGGGATCTGGAGCCTTAGGTAGGGGCCGGAGCCACCATGGGACTTGGCTGTGTCAGGGCTATTGTATGTCTTGGGGACAGCTGGGGGTTACTGCTGATGAACAAATGCTCTGTGCCATCTACTGAGCTCTCTGTCCATTCAGCTCATCTCCTGATTTTGGTTTCCCAGGGTCAAGACTCCCTGGCAACTGGGTAGCCCCTGCTGTTCAGGTTATGGTATCCCAAGCACTTATCTCTGTCAGTTCTATAATGGAAGAGCAGGAAGCCAAATTGTCATTGTTTCCTTGCTCTGTTGCCGGACCTGGGCTGAGCTCTGCAGAATGGGCCTGTCTTAGGGTCAAGTATGGATTATATATTCCCAACCCAGAGAGTAAGGACGTTTTCTAACAAGTGAAACACGGTTTCATCTGTATTTCTCTATTTTACCCGTTACCCAGAGGGAACAGGAAGTTCTGAAGGGGATTAGGTCAATGTGCTTAGAAAACCAAGGAAGGAGCTAGAGAGGACTCAGTCAAGGTCTCAGTTGTTTAGGAAGCTAAGACTGAAGCCATTCAGGGTCCAGGGCACCCATCCTGCTAGAAACCAAGCAGACGTCTTTTTGTCACTGTTGATATTTTACCTTCCTGGCCACAGTGAGTGGGCTTTGTTTCAATTCTACTTGCTACAAAATAAAAATGTCTGTGATGAAAAAAAATCATGAGAACTGTAAGACTGTAGGTCAGCCTTTAGCTGTGGAAGCAGATGAAGGGAGCAGATGTTGAAAATGAATATGACATTTTCCAATGCACTGATCACAGAGACTGATAAGCTGTGACTTTGAACCCAGCCTGGACATCTTGAATTTGAGACAGTGTGCAGAGCTCTTATTAGCTCTGAATTCCATACCCTCCAAACCTCTATTTCCTTCCCTACACAGCAGAATAATCCCTGCGTCCCAACCATCTCCTGGAGATTTAAGGAAATGGTGTTTTTACCAGCACCTGCCACACCGATGATACTTGACAAGGGGTTATGGCTTTCTGAACTCACATTCGGACCCACTTGGCCTTCTCTTGATTTTGAAATAAACTTCATCTACTGAAAGTCAAGTTTAGAAATCCCTTTCCTCTCTGCAATTTTGAAATCAAAGATTCGGACATTCCTCTCTCTTTCTCTCTCTCTCTCTTTTTTTCCTTGGTCAGTGGCTTCACCATTCTAACTTCCTGGAGGGTAGAGCCTGGCACTTCCTGGGACCCCTCAGTACTGACCAGGCAGGTGGTGGTGTCATTAATTGAGTCAGGGAAAGAATGAGGATGGGGGCATGAGGGATGGGAAGACAGTAGACAGTCTGAGAAGTCTGGTATGGCCACCGGGTGGGGCGGGGGGCAGGATCTAGACATCCAGCCAACCACAGGCAGGAGCCTGGGGGAGGTTAAGTGTGAGGCCATTGGCAGCAGGAGGTAACAGCGGGAGAGGACAGATGCCCAGGAGCTTGTCAGGAAGACAAGGGCTGAGTGCAGGGGCCCTAAGCAAACTCCAGGAAATAACAGTGTCTGGGATGGCGGGGGTGGGAAGGGTGACCAGAAAGGAGGCCAGATGGGACGGAAGGGAACTGTTGGAGAAGCAGGAAGATGCGCCCGACTCCCACCCCGGTGCACCTCACCGCAGAGAGCCACAGGCCTGGCCTTTCAGGGGCAGGGAGGGACGGAGAAGGCCTTGAACGTGGCAGTGAAAGAGGAGAGCTCAGACGTGGGAGAGGCCCGAGAGGTCGCCAGGGCGCCCACGTGAGGGTCCCCAGGGGTAGTGCCGGGAAGGCCCCGAGGGTCCCCGGCTCCCGGGCTCCCCGGCCCGGGGCTGCAGATACGGAAACCCCGGGAGGGCGCGGGACCTGTCCCTGCCTCCCGTCCCGTGCGCTCCGCCCCGCTCCGGGGATCTGGAGCTCCCGACCCGGCTGAGCAGCTCGGGCCCCCGGGGTCGCCAGCGGCCCTGCGACCTCCGCCCGGAGCCGAGCCGCGCGTCCTCCCGGGGGGCTGCGGTCCGGCGGGGCTAGGGCGGGGGCTGCGCGAGGCCGGGCGGGGGCCGCCAATGGGGCCGGCGCGCGCGGCTCTGCGCATGTGTGGGAGGCGCCCGAGTTTCCCTTTGCAACTTTTGAGTGACGGGGACGCCGCCCCAGCCTGCCAGGTGCAGACGCCGCGCCTTCGCCGCAGGTAGAGAGGAAGGGGCGCAGGGTGGGAGCGGGGGATCGGGTCGCCGGCCCACAGCCTCTCCGGACTACGCCCGCCCCCAGGCTCCCTCTCCCCTCCCCTCCCCCTGGGGTCTAGTCCCCGGGAGCCCGAGCTCGCAGCCGGGACGGGGAGCGAGGAGCGCAGCCGGGGGCCAGGGTGGGGGGCGGGGTGGGGCTCTTCTTTCTCCGACTCTGCGTGGCGGGCCTGGGAAGGGGCGGGCGCTCGAGTCCCCCCCGCCGCTGGGCGGGGGTGGAAGCCCCGGGGACTGTCCCTCAGTGACCCCTGCCGCGGCCCTGCGGGTGCCCAGAGGGAGGCCCAGGGTTGGGGAGAGTGAGGAGAGTTCCGCCAGAAAACCAAACCGCCCGGGTTCGGGGACCTGATCAGACTGGCTACCTGAGACTCTGGGCTGGCCTCCCTGTTTCAGCCTCAGGCGGTGTCCTCAAGGGCAGGACTCCACGGGGCGGGAGACGAGTGGCCGCCAGCTTCCTTCTCCGCTGGGCTTGCGGGGCTGCGTGCCAGCAGCGCCCACAGGGCCCGGGGTTCCTGGTTAGGCCGTCCGGGTGTGCTCCCCAAGTCCCAGCGGGGGCACGGGACAGGGGCGGGGGGTGGCTGTGGGGGCACGTTGGGGCCCTTCTGAGGCCATGGCGCCTACGGGGTTGAAGACACTCATGGGGCCGGGGAAAGACTCCCCATCATCCCTCCCGGCAGGAACAACCAGTATTTCTCCCTCCCCCCACCCTCTGACACTTGTCAGAGTCCCAAGTGTGCTGCTTCCAGGAGAATGGGAAGAGAAGCAGAAGCCCCCTCCTCTTCACAATGATCTCTTGTTTGTTTGGTGTCCTGGGGAAAGGTCCCTCTTGAACATTAGAGGGAGTCCTGACATTGTTTCCCCCACTAGCTGGAGGAGTGACTTAAAATAAAAACCCAGACCTTTTGAGTGCTCACTGGGCCTAGGCCCTGGGCTAAGTGCTTCATGGGCGCTGTCTCAGGTGTGGGCCTCCCAACAGCCCTGTAAGAGGAACAACATCATTGCCCCCATTTTATGGAGAAGGAAGTCAAGGCACTGAGCATTTAAGCCACTTGTCTAAGCAACATGGTGCAGAGACCCTGTAAGTGCAGAGCTCAGGGTGCCCTTCTGGGTGCCCTGCCTCCCTGAGGCTGGCGGGCCCTGTCTAGGGAGAGAAACAGCGGTCCAGGGTCCCGGGTCCTGTCTGGTGGGGCTTTAAGACTTTTGCGTTCGCTGGGCAAGCCTCTCTGAGTCAGGTCCTGTGGCTGAAGGGCTGCAGCTGTGCGTAGTCTTGCTGTCAGGAGGTTTGTGCTGATAAAAATACCCTGAATTTGAATGGGGCCTTCTCACAGGGCTTCCGACAGGGCTCACGAACCTCCTGCCACTTTTTGTTCGCTTTTCTGGAAGGAGGGTGTAAGTGGTCGGGTGTGCTGATGGTCAGGGGCCTGTCCTGGCTGCCTTGGCTGCCAACTCAGGTGGCTGGTGGGTTAGCGTTGGCAAGTTTGAGGCCGGCTGTTGGATTCAGCCCTCCCTCCCGATGGTCACGGCCAGATTCTGCGGTGCACAAGGGCTGCACTTGGAGGTGGGGGCCCGAGTCACCTGCTATTCCCCTGGCCTCTCTTACCGTCAGGTTACTAGAGAGCTCTCTGTGAGGCACGGATGAGGCATTCGCCTAAGTGGGTCTATAAATGGGAAGACTGACCGTGGACACGGGGGCTACTTCCTGGTTCACCCTACCGGTCCCAGCCAGGCAGGGCTGCCCGGTGGTGCTTGTGCCCCCAGCTGTCAGGTCAGAGCTTGTCTGTTCGGGAAGATGCGGTGTTGGGGGGCGCTGGTTCTGGAGGCACCGTGATGTTTCAGCAGACTTTGGAGGGGATGTGTGTATAGCGCAGGGACAGTTCACAACAGAGCTGAAAGATCTGAGAGGGCGGCGGGCCTCCAAAGCCCTGTCCTCACCTGGGCGCTCCCCCAAGAAGGGGCTGACCCGGCGGGGCCATAGTCTGAGGCGCCTCAAGGCTCTCTCCCAGGCTGGCAGTGTTTGCTGGCTGGCCTCACAAGCTCTTGCCCAACTTTGTAAAACCACCCCAGGGAGCCTGTTTGGCAGGAGGAAAGTGACTTAGAGGTGTGCGTAGAGCTGGAGGGGGAAGGGGAAGCACAGGAAGCGTCCTCCTGCGGGGCCTCTGCTCCCAGGGACAGTGTTCTCTCTGTGAGCATTTTTTTTAAAAAATATTTTATTTATTTATTTGTCAGAGAGAAAGAGCACAAGCAGGGGAAGCAGCAGGCAGAGGAAGACGCAGGAAACTGCTCCCCGCTGAGCAGGGTGCCAGTTGCGGGGCTCGATCCCAGGACCCTGGGATCATGACCTGAGCCCAAGGCAGATGGTCAACCCACTGAGCCCCCCAGGTTTCCCTCCGCTGCAGTTTCTTTCCACATCAGCTTTCAGGCTTCCTTGTTTGTTCTTCTGTGTTCCCTCTCCTGATGCTAACCCTCAGACAGCAGCTGCCCTTGGGGGCCTGCTTAGGTCCTGGACTCAGGGGCTGACCTGGAGCCCACGGCCACCCCTGCCCTCGTAGGGGGGGACACTCCCTGGTCCCTGCAGTTCCAGGAGCCGGAGAAGAGGGGAGAGGCTGCTGATGTTGGAGGAGGAGAGAGGAGCAGGCTGCCCAGAGGAGGACCCAGGACCAGTTCTGGGAGCTGGGGGGAGACCAGGCTGGGGGAGCCCCCTGGAGGGAGAGTGAGAGGCTCCATGTGGGTGTCTGAGTTCAGAGACTCAGGGCAGGTGTGAGCACAGGGCAGTGTGCCAGGCTGGGGAAGGCCGTCCCCAGTGACTCGGGCCGCCTGTGTACCTTAGGGAAGCCTGTGAAGGCTTGCGCTCCCCGGTCCTGGGGTCAGGAAGGCCCTGCAGGAAATGAGTAGCAGGCCCGAGGCGTCCTGGGAGGCGGCTGGCGCTGCCTCTGTGTGTGCTAGAGCCGAAGCCGGAGCCGGCTCCAAGTGAGGACCTCTCAGAGGGACGCACCCACAATCCTCTCTGCTGGTGAGTGTGGGGCAGGAGGGAGGGGCAGGCGCCGGGCCCTGCTGTCGGGTGGTGCCGCTGGGTGAGCCGCAGGATCTGCCTCCCACAGGAGTCTCCGGGACTCTGTTTCAGAGCCACCAACTCCATGGTTCTGGCCTCGTATCTTCCAGCCATTGCCAAATCTCTTACGGGGGTAAGAAAGTGGCTCGGCCTTCTGGGGGATCCTCCCAGGCCCTAGGACCTGCCAGCTCACCCCCTTCCTGCTCTTCCTGGCGTGTGTGTGTGTGTGTGTGTGAGAGAGAGAGAGAGAGAGAGAGAGAGAGACTGGCCCCAGCCAGCCAGCCCCAGGGGCCAGAAGTGGCGCTCACCAGCCCACACACACCGGAGCAGCATTCCCAGGTAGTCCAAACACCTGGTTGGGTTGTCTGTACCTTTTCTTCTTGTCCCCAGGAGTTTTGTTTCTGTAACAGGTTAGAAATATCAGAGCTGGGGGCTCCTGCGTGGCTCAGTTGGTTAAGTGTCTGACTCTTGATTTTGGTTCGGGTCCTGATCTTATGGTTGTGAGATCGAGCCCCATGTCGGGCTCTCTGCTCAGCATGGAGTCTGCTTGAGGGTTCTCTCTCCCTCCCTCTCCCTCTGCACCCCTCCCCCACCATGAGCTCCCTCTCTTAAAGAAAGAAAGAAAGAAAGAAAATCTTTTTTAAAAACAGAAAAAGAAATCTCAGACCTAGCAGGACCCCTTGACAAATGAGTTTCACCCGACGGGGCAGGGGGAGATTGAGGAAGGGGTGCCGAGGATTCCTGCTGGCTTTTCGGCCGCAGACAGCATGAGAAGGGGGCTAGGACTTGGGTGCCGATTCTGGGGCCTTCGGTGTCAGTAGAAAAACCCTGGAGGTTTCCATTGGCTTCACAGGAGTGCCGGGAGCCTCTGAAAGGAAAGGTCAACAGCTAGCCAGGAGTGATATTTGCTTTGGAAATGCTGGGCCTTCCAGTTAGACCGGGACCGGGGGGAGTGAGAGGACAGGGCTGGGATTGCGCTTCAGGGGACCCTGAGGAACCCCCCTCCCTTTCTCCCATCCTCCTCCATCTCTCCCTGCTCCCCCACCCTGCCTCAGCCTCCTCTGGCTGCCCCTTCTGGGCCGTCACTGAGCTAATGTGTGTTTGTCATCATGCCAGATGGGGAGTGTGGCATGGCAGGAAGAGGCTGGGTCTGGGGGCCGATTCTGTGCTGACTCACTCCATAGAGCCCTGAGCCTCGGTTCCAAGTGGATGGAATGGCCTGTGTCTGAGGTCCCGGCTGGACAGCCCAGGAGTAGTGGGGCCGGGGACCCGTCTGTGGCTCCAGGGGATCCATGTTGTTGCCTCCTTGGGTGTCCCTTCTTATTTGTTCAGTCCTGCTTTACTCCCCATCTTTATCTCCCTCCTGTCTGTCCCCTGCCTGCCCTCTCGAGCTCCCTGCAGCTCCCACAGGATGCTCTAGTTGGCGGCCCCAGTGGCCCCTGGCCTTCCCCTCCTTCCTATTCATCTGCTCCAGGAGGCTGCCAGCTGTGTCCCGGACCAGTGCTCCCCCCCCCGGCCGCCTGACACTGTCCCCACAATGGAGCTATTCTCGTGGGCTCTGCCAGGCGCACGGGGCCTGGTGTCGGCCGTTCCCTGACTCCTTGCTGCCAGCCCCCACCTTGGGCTCCCCCAGCGAAGGCCAGGGAGACCGCAGGGGCATCCACGCCCTGACTGTCGGCACAGGTTTTCTCTCCAGGGAGGACAGTCACGATGACCGGCCCCCGGTCCCTGGAGCTGTGGCAGTCCGAGGCGGTGTCCCTGCGTGGGCGGCTGGGCCTCGGGGGCCAGCCCAACGACTCCTACTGCTACAACTCAGCCAAGAACAGCACTGTGCTGCAGGGGGTCACCTTTGGAGGCGTCCCCACCGTCCTGCTCATAGACGTCGTTTGCTTCCTGGTGAGATGCCCCCTCCCCCCAACCCCGCTTCCCCCCTAATCCCGGTCCCCCCAGGCCTTCTGGAATGGTCAGGTGAGGAGCCAGGCACGCCTGAGTGTGGATGCCCGCTGTGTTGCCCTCCAGCTGTGGCTGTGACCTGCGAGTGTCCCTCTGCACAGCAGGGGTCAGGAATCTTTCCTCCAGGATTTCTGGAGAAGATCCTGCCAGGCTTTGCAGGGAAAGAGCCCATGCGGCTGTGCCCTTGATGTTGAGTTAGTGGCCCGTCACGTGGGGAGGCCCACGGGAGGAGGGTGTCCGCAGGGATGAGAGGGGAGGACAGAAGGTGTGGGTTCAAATCAGAGTGGCCACACCTCCCCTCCCGGGTTAGAAACGTCACCTCCTGTCCTCACTGGGTCCTGGGCCTTTTAAGGAAGAGGCCACCCTTACTCAGAGCTGGCTCACACAGTGACCTCTCTTTCGTGTAGACCTCCCCGTTCCCAAACCAACCCTCCCACTTTGTAGTACACGACTTTTTCTCCTTTGGCCAGGAGGCAGGCGCTGGGGTCAGGTGCACCTTCCTTGGCCTGCCCACCTCCTGATGCCTTCTCCCGACACGTGACAGAGCCCATGGGAGTAAATGGGGTGCGATGTGGGTGGGGGCAGTGGGCCAAGAAGACATGTCTGGGACGGAGGTGGCCAGGGCTGAGGGGGCCTGGCTGAGGTGGGAGTCTCTAGGCAGTGGATTTTTTTATCATGGGATGTTCAGGGGTGCACCTGGGAGCAGGCGGCACCTGGAAGATGTGGGTGCATGGGAGATGTCCACACCCCAAGAAGGCAGGGGCAGGAGCTCACCGTGAGCAGCCTTCAAATTTACCCTAAGGCATGACTCACCTGCCTCTGGAGACGGTCGCCAACTCCCCACCCACCTGGAGCTAATTCCTCAGGGAGCAAGAGCACAGCCCCCGTGGGGTTCTGGCTTTAGGGAGACAAAACCCACATTGAAAAGTTTAGCTCCGGACCAGGCAGCAGGGTGGTGTTGATGGAAATGGCTGTCTCTGCCTCCCTGAACCTGGAGGGAGGGAACCTGTGTGGGAGCAGGGAGAGACCTGCCCAGGTCTGAGGAGGTGTAGGGCAGCTAAAAGGATGAGAGATGAGATGAGCCCAGGGCCCCCGAGCAGCAGGTCCTTGGTGGGCACAGCCTGTCTGGGAGAACCATACACCCAGTGAGGGTCTGACGGCTGCTCGCTTGGCCTGGGGCTGTGCTGCACCTTGGAATCAAACATGCACATCTCTGTGAAGGGAAGGGAGACTGGTCCCCAGGGCAGCTGCGGGGCCTGGGCTTGTCTTCCTGCTCAGGAGCCAAGGAAGGCCTGTCCGGGCTGGGGAAGTCGTGGCTGTTGCTGTGGCCCTGAGAGCAGGGAACGGGGCAGGTGTGTGGGACGAGGGGGGCCCCAGGAGGCCCAGCGCAGTGTGGATGGGCGCTGGCGAAGGGGGTGCGCAGAGCATCTGACCGACCCTGGCACAGTGTGGCCTTGGGCAGTTCAACACCCTCTCTGGGCCCTCCCAGCTCTGCTGGGCTTAGGATGATGGGCTTTACCTCTAAGACAGCTGTCTCTTTCTAACTGGAAGTTCTTTTCTCTTTCTAGTGTTTAATTTCAGTGTTTACCATCATAAGAAGGAGATTCTGGGATTATGGCCGCATTGCGCTGGTGTCGGAAGTTGACAGGTAATGAGGACATGTCACCTCAAGTGTGTGTGTGTGTGTGTGTCCCCGTCCGTCCGTGGGACGGGCTGGCGGCCCCTGGGGAATGCTGAGTCTAGGTGGCACTTGTTGCCAGGCCTACGGTCCAGGAGCCGTTGGCTTCAGGCTGCGGAGGAAACCCAGCTGCCTCGAATATGTAGGGCTTTTCAGGGAGAAGTTGTCCTTCTGACCTTGAGTATTTTCAAGGGTCTCTTTCCGGAAATGAGCTAGTCTGGGGCTGTGCGGGGTCAGCGTGGGGGGCTGGCCCTGCTTAGCCAGGGTCGGCTGAGTCTGTAGGGGAGCAGGGCCCCCCTTGGCCTGACACCCCCCAGCCCTAGGCTCTGACGGCTCAGGACACCCAAGGGGCGATTGGACTCCCAAGTCTGTGTGCCAGCCTCTCCAAGCTCAGCTGCTCCCGCATGGCCTGGATCCTATGTCAGATACAGAATGGGAAGCTGTGGGGGAGATCCACGTGTGCCCAATTCTGGCCCCCCAGCCTCCTCGGGCGCTCACCACACGACCCCTGCCGCTCTTGCTCCATGGGGCCGTGATGTAACACGGTCTGTTATGCGGGGCAGCGGGGGGCACAGACACCTTCCTTCCCTGTGGCCTTGGTGCTGGTGTTTGCGAGCCGGTGGTGCTGTGGATCGGACAGAATACGGCATTTGTTCTGAGTTCTATTTAACACCTGGGGAAATGGATCGTGGACGTACATGCTCCAGGGCCCTTTATGTGGACGAGTGGCAGCGCTGGGGCCCCAGGACATGGGGTACGGGGGTGTTCTGCTGATGCCTAAGCCCTGGGCACTCGTCCCTTGTGAGGTGGAGTGTCACGGCTCTCACGTGCAGGTGTGGGCCTCGCCCTGTCTGCACATCCCTCGGGCCGTGTCACACCTTGTGCCAGCTCTGCAGCTGGCTTGAAGCTTTGGCCCGGAGCTCTAAGAGGCGGCAGCATGCTGGATGCGGAGTGTAGGCCTGGGGAAAGAATTTTCTGTTGTTTTCCCTTTTGTGTTTCTAGTGAGTCCAGATTCCAGAGATTATCTTCATCTTCCTCTTTCGGGCAACAAGATTTTGAAAGCGAGCTGGTTGGTATTGAAGGGACTGGTGTGGCCATGGCAGGGGCTGGGGCAGGGGAGGGCCATCGTGTGTCTTTTCAGCAGCTGACTCGGGACCCTGCATCCTGAGTGGCTGGTGCTGGTGACAGCTCTTCCCTACACCGACCAAGCCACCCAGATTGGCATGTGCGCAGGGAGGATGCAGCTGGGGGGAGCATGGGACGGGATCAACTCTCAGGCAGAGGGCTCCCCGCATCCCCTGTGATCCCAGCACTTGTCTCTGTGGTCATACTCAGGGACAGGTGTGACAATTTGTTGAGGGCTTGCTGCTGGTTTGAGCCATCTCTGGGCAGGGACCATGCCCCTATCCAGCCCTGTCGCCCTGGAAGGGATGGTGACCAAACCTGTGTGTTTCCCAGTCAGGGAACAGCCCAGCTTTAGGGAGGATTATCTGTAAGAGATGCAATGAACAGTAAAACCTACAGACCCTCTCTTCCCTCCATAATCCCACTGGAAGGGGGACCGATCCATCCACGAGGCTCGTTTCCCTGCATCCATCCCAAGTCTCAGCCTGTCATTCCAGACAACCAAACAGGCCTACGGAAGCTTCTCTGCAGCTGTCCCGAGCTCCTGTCAGCTCTCTCTTCAAGTTCAGCATTTGTCCCTAGAGCCTGTATGATTCTGCCAATTGTCAAAGCTTGAGAGGTTTTTACAAGTGTTCCAGGCATGCAGTGGGAGCATGGAGACCCTGTCACTCTGGGGACACGTGGTAGCTTGCTGAATTGGGAACAAAAGCATTGCTTTCACGCCCGGGGAGGTTAGGGGGTTGTTTAATGTCACAGACAATGATCACATCTACCTCCCAAAGACACAGACATTCATGGCTGACCCCTGTTCTCTGCATTTCCAGGGATGCTGCCCCTGGCTGACCGCCATCTTCCGCCTGCAGTGAGTACAGCGCGGTGGCTGGCGTGTGTGTCGGGGTGTGTGTGTGGGGGTGTCTGGCTGGCTGTCTTTCTCGGGTGGGTTTTTGCGTGTTTGACCCACGAGGAGGAAAGGCCAAAATGGCCCGACCCTGAGATGGGGTCTCTTCGCTGCTTCTCAGCTCAGGTCCAAAGTAGGATGTGGGGGCTGAGAACTGGGGGTCCTGGACGATCCCTGCACAAGCTCACAAAAGCTGATTTTTTGGGCTCTAGGCGGGAGTGATGCCTCCTTAGTATCTAACATGGACATGCCTGGCCAAAGGCTCTACCTAGCAGGCTTCTGTGTCTAATTCGGTGCAAAGAGGAGAAATAATGATGCTTTAGTACATTTACCTCATTGGGTTAAAAGTTGCCTTGTTTTTAAGATGTGGGGGCTATGGGGAAAAATCCTATCTAGCTAGGGTCTGCTGCGATCACAGGGAGCATCCTTCCAGGGCACCCAGATATGGGAAGGACCTCTCAGAACTGATGATACGTGGCAGTTATGGGGTGCTGGGGACATTCCTCTCTCTGGGACTCAGTTTCCCTGACTATAAGAGGGGGCCCAGGATGACATGGTGGGAGAGGGGCATCTGCCAACTCCACCCTTCTCTGCCACTGCAGAATTGTGTCACTAGGAGACATTTCTCCTGAGTCACACGTACTCCGTGCAAAAAAGTCCACCACATAAGGAAAAGAATCAGTGAGAACAAATTTGAGGTTGCCTAGAACCCTCCATGCCCTGCCCACCCCCTCCAGATGCCCAGGGTGTGGTCTTTGGTTGGCTGCTCTCTGGCCATGCCCCCGCCCCTGGGCTGGGGACACCCCCCCCCAACCACCACCCAGAGGAGCAGCAGAGGACACTGACTCATCATTTCCATGGTAACCCACAACAGCAGTGGGCAGATCGGCTCTGAGGCCGGATTCTCTCCCTATGCCCCGTTTTTCTGGTTCCGTGTCTCCTCCAGTCCCCCACCCCACCCTGCGCAGGGACACACATTTCTCATGGAGGGCTGTCACAGGGATCGCCGCGTATCCTGCTTTGTCACTGTGACACTGGGTCAGACGTGTTTCCCATGTCCACTCCCCGGAGTTTTCTCCTGTTCCTGTCTCAGAAAGGACAACACTTTGACGTTTTTGAGGCTACAACTAAATTCTAACAGCTGCTCGCGGCCAACATTACAACGGACATTCAAGGAGGCCCCTCAGATTGCTTCAAGTTGCCTCTCCCAGCGAGAAGTCAGAGGCACGTCCCCAGAAACACCAGGGATGAGCGTCGCTCATTGCTCTGAGTCTTCGTCACTACCCTTCCCGCCTTCTTTCTGGAGCCTCGCTCCCCAGGGCACCTCCCTGCCAGGAGAGCGGGAAAGAGGGAAATTCCCCTTCTGCCTCCTGGCACGGAGGTCTGGCTGTCAGCCTCTGGAATTTTCCAGGTCCCCAAGCCAGCCAGAGCTTCCAGATATGGGACCCAGGAGAGGGTGGAGCCCCTGTGAAGCCCCGGCAGGACACAGGGAGGAGGAGGGGTGGCAGAGGACCTGAGAGCCCTGGAATGCTTCCAGGACCGGCTCCCCCTGCCTCACAGCTGACCCGAGGGAGCCCTGGGAAAGAGGAGAGCCCCAGCAGCCCCGTTGTCAGTGGCTTTGCTTATTCATAGCAGTGGGGCGGGGGTGGGGTGGGGACTGAGTTTCCACACCTCGCTGGTGCACAGATGGCTCCCAGGCGTGCTGCTGTGGGGACAGGCTCCGGAGTCCCCACACAAGCTGTGTGACCGGGGACGCCAGCTGCGCCTCCGTGTCCTCATAGGTAGAACACCAGGTTGGGATGGGAACCCACCTCCCGGGCTGGTCCTGAGAATCCGGTGAGGTCAGCTGTGGCTGGGCCTGGCACTGCCATTCACGGAGATTCCATGTGCGTGTCTTGGCCAGCGATGACCAGATCCTGGAGTGGTGTGGGGAGGACGCCATCCACTACCTGTCCTTCCAGAGACACATCATCTTCCTGCTGGTGGTGGTCAGCTGCTTGTCCCTGTGCGTCATCCTGCCTGTCAACCTCTCGGGCGACTTGCTGGGTAATGACACCTCATCCCGTGCGACCTGGGCCGGGGCAGAGCCACAGGTGTCCCTGTGATAGGGCAGAACCCCGGGACTCTTGCTCTCATTCAGACGTGAGGAGTCCTCGAGGCGACTCCCGGAACCCTCCCCTGTGCCCCAAGGTCTGGAGAAGAACCCACCCCTCCCCCCATGTCAATTTCTGATTCTGTCCCAGTTCAAGGACTAAAACCCCAAGATTTGTCAAATGGAGCTTTTGGAGTGTGTTTTACACTCTCCTGCCCCCACGCAATCCAGAGGCCGTAATTAGCGGAGCTGGAAGATGTTGGTGATGCTCAAAGTCAACATCGGAGTGTGGAACAATGTTTCCCAGCAACTGCAGGAAGCCAGCTTCCAAAATGCCATCATGAACCCACTTTTTTCCTTTTCCTTTTTAAAAAAATTTTAAAGTAATCTCTCTACCCACCCTGGGGCTCCAACTCATGACCGCAAGATCAAGAGTTGCATGCTTTGCCGACAGAGGCGGCCAGGCGCCCCAAGAATGCAATTCTTTTGCCCAGTGATTCCCAGCTTGGTGTTGGGCCCAGCTTACGGTGATTTTAAATTTTCTTTTTAAGATTTTATTTATTTGACAGACACAGCGAGAGAGGGAACACAAGCAAAGGCAGAGGGAGAAGCAGATTCTCCACTGAGCAGGGAGCCTGATGCGGGGCTCGATCCCAGCACCCTGGGATCATGACCTGAGCCAAAGGCAGACGCTTAACGACTGAGCCACCCAGGCATCCCTGATTTTAAATTTTCAAAGAGTGTCACAGGAATCTCTGAGCAAGAGGAATTCCAACGTCAACTTCCCCACGGGGTGGGTTGGGAAGAAGCTGTCGGTTCAGCAGAGGCCTTGGTTGGTGGGGCTTTGGAAAGACTGGACAGACGATCAAGGTCCTCTGACGGGCCCGAGGCCACACACGGAGGTGACACACCGGGCCCCGTTCCCCTCCCCCAGCCTGATCCTGGGACTAAGCATCTTCCTTTTCTGCAGACAAAGACCCTTACAGTTTTGGGAGGACGACGATAGCAAACCTGCAGACTGAGTGAGTATGGGGTGGGGGTTGATGGGGGTGTGGGGGGCACCCACCAAGGGGAAGTCAGGCTCGGGCCCGGGCTCGGCCAGAGAGTCCTCAGCCAGCGGGCAGATGTGCAAGAGCCCCTCTGCTGCAGGGGCGTGTGGCCCCGTCCTTGCACCTGCACCCCGGCTCGGGAGCCAGCCCTCACGGCAGGTGCTGCTCCCCCCCGACCCCCAGCAATGACCTTCTGTGGCTGCACACCATCTTCGCTGTCCTCTACCTCATCCTCACCGTGGGCTTCATGCGGCACCACACCCAGTCCATCTGGTACAAGGAAGAGAGCCTGGTGAGTGCGGCTGGGGGTGCAGGGGGAGTTGGAGCCCTGCAGTGCCCTTGGCGATGCCCCTGGTGTATGGCCCGGTGAGCAGTGAGCTTAAATCGAGGGTCTCTGCGGAACATGGCTGGTGTGTCAGCATGCAAAAATGCCTTTTGCTTTTTAATTTTGTTTATTTTTTTAAAAGATTTTGTTTATTTATTTGACAGAGAGATCACAAGTAGGCAGAGAGGCAGGCAGAGTGGGGGGGAAGCAGGCTCCCTGCCGAGCAGAGAGCCCGGCACGGGGGGCTCAATCCCAGGACCCTGAGATCATGACCTGAGCCAAAGGCAGAGGCTTAACCCACTGAGACACCCAGGTGCCTCTGCCTTTTGCTTTTTTAAAAAGAATTCTGATTATTTTAGTTTATTTTATCTTATTTTTTAAAAGGTTTCATTTATTTGTTTACTTGAGACAGAGAGAGAGATAACAAGTGAGGGAACAGAAGCATGGGGGAGTGGGAGAGGGAGAAGCAGACTGTCCACGGAGTAGGGAGCCTGACCTGGGACTCGATCCCAGGACCTTGAGATCATGACCTGAGCTGAAAGCAGATGGTCAATGACAGAGGTTCCCCAAAATTCTGATTATTTTAGAACACAGATTTTTTTCTCCTCCATTTTGCCAGCTAAGCCCTTAAATTTGTGGGGTTCAGGCTTGTGGTTGCTGATTTTCAGCACTTTCGTGGAAGGTCGGACTGTGAACAGCCCTCTCTCTGTATCAGCCACAGCTAGATAGGGGCACAGGAATGCCTGTGAGTTGGTTCCAGGCCTGGGTTCTCCTCTTATCTGCTGTATGACCACATTTGAGTCACTCACCCTCTCTGGGTTCCTTCTCCCTGTCTTGTCATGCAAGGGAGGCTCCCAGGACTGCTGTGGCAGGGTACTCTTTGTGCAGTCTGTAGGACGATTCCATGGGAATGACAGCTGTCCGGCCTTGGCCAGGCGGCAGGAGGGCACCTGAGCCTCTCGAGCTCCCACTGTGTTCTTTGGGGAGGCTGGAACAGGACTGCAGAGTGGCGCCTGCCTGCAGACAGGCTTGCCCCTCTGACTTCTCTCCCTGGGGCGTTTTTCCGGTAGGTGAGGCGGACCCTGTTCATCACGGGCCTCCCGAGAGACACCAAGAAGGAGACTGTGGAGAACCACTTCCGGTGAGCAGGGCTGCGGTGGGACAAGTGCCTTAGGGGAACACTCCATGTCCTGTCTGGGGACCGAGAGACCTTGAGCAGGGCCTGGCCCTGCCACACAGGCATCGCATGGCTGCTGGTGGCATGCAAGGATTCCAGCTGGGTTGGCCTGTCCTCTGCCCGCCACCATGGCCGCCCCAGGTGACCATAGTAGCTTGAGGGGAGGCCAAGGTGTAGGGGCAAATAAGCTGCTGGAGAGCACCAGGAAGATGACCTCCCCTGGGCACCTGGGCATCAGCTGTGCGGAGTCTGATGCCCGAGATGGAGCTTGTCTCCAAAGGGGAGGGCCCAGGGTAGCTCTTCCATGTGCAGGCATCTGGGCAGGGGACACGTGTGTCTGGGCTCTGTCCTCACAGAGTTCACCAGTCAGTGAGTCCAAGCTCTCTCTGGCAGGACCTCCTCCGCAGCGCCCACTGAGCACCTGCCCCAGGGCTCTTGCAGGTGGTGGGGTGGGGAGGAGGTGTGCGCAGGGTCAGCAGTGAAGCAGCAGGATTGGGGGGGCACAGAGCAGGTGCAGAGGCCCCTGGACCCCCTGGGCTGCAGGTGAGGGAGCGGGCTTCAGTCTGTCTTCACTCCCACCAGCTCAGTGGTCAGTAATCTGTAGAGCGGGCTGGGGCAGAGGTCCATGTAGTATGGCACCAGTTGTGAAGAACTACATAGAGGTGTAAAGCAAGTGTTTACAATTTATTGACTAACCTCTTCAGCAGCTCCAGGTATTTTAGAAGGACCCTTTTATGTAAACACCGTACTGGCGTCCTTTTCCTCTGTTCCTTGAAACAGCTCCTGAGGGGCCCTGCTGGGCAGCATGGAAAGCAATTGTGTCATTTATTGTATAACCTTAGCCAAGAAAAGCCCCCTCCTACCGCGCAGACCCTGGGTCAGAGCTCTCCCAGTTGAGGCGGCTCTTTTGGTGCGTGGGGCCGCAGCAACCCCTGGGGCCCGACCTGGCATCTGCCTTGTGGCCGGGGTGCTCACGCTGGGGTTCTCTTCCCTGGTGCTCTTCTTGGGACCTGGGCTTGTCCTGCTGTTCAAATCAATGACTGACATGTGGTGGGCTTTGTCTCACAAAGATGTACCCAGAAGTGTGCCTGGAGTATGGCGGGGGTGGATTATGTGTGTCACGGGAGGGAAGGTCACACGGTACGGCAGGGCTGCCCAGAGGCAGATCGCGGTTCCCAACAGCCACTAGCTGTGTGGCCTGGGGCACAAGTCCTATAACCTGTCCAATGCAATTTTCCTCATCTGGAAAATGGGGATGAAACCTCCCAGGTTACTATGAGGATTAAATCAGCCCCTGCCAGTCCCTGGTCAATGGCAAGGATGTGCACAGCCTGCGTATAAGTAGACACAATCTTCCTAGGGTGGTTAACAAGGGTGCAGACGTTTTCTGGGCTGAGGGTCCTTTGCTTTCATTAAACCTGAAAGGTCTGTGACCTTCAAAAGGCTCACAGACTGGATAGAACTTCAGGGGTCCAAGGTCGACGTGACCTAGAGCCAACGATAAATGTCTTCCCTTGGGTGGGTGGAGAACGTCAGCTGTGGTGTCCAGCCTTGGCCACAAGCACCTGCTGACGTAAAGCCATGAGGGTCTAAACCTGTCACTTGCAGTGACTTTCATACTCTTAGAAAAGGCCTCTTTGTATTAAATTTCAAAATTTCCCCCATTGATAAAAGACAAAGAGAAAAGAGGTCCCTGTTGGCACAAAAATAAAAGCCGTGGAGATTTGGGGGTCCCCCTGCCCGGGGGGTCCTCTTGTCCAACAGGCATCTTTCTGGGCACAGGGACGCGTATCCCACATGTGAGGTGTTGGACGTCCAGCTGTGCTACAACGTGGCCAGACTGCTGTCCCTGTGCAGGGAGAGGTAAGGGGGGCGCTGGCCGGGGGTCCCCCTCCCCTGCCGAGACCCCGCCCTCCTTCCTGCTGGCCCTGGGGAAGGCAGGAGGGCGGCTCTGCCCCTCTCCTGCTCGGGTCTGGAGGCGGCTGGGTCTGGTGTGGCGGCTGGTGTCCGAGGCTGACATTCCCTCACTGCCCCCCCCCCCCGCGCCCCTGGCAGGAAGAAGACAGAGAAGAGCCTGAACTATTACACGAGCCTACGGGCAAAGACAGGCCAGTGGACCCTGATCAACCCCAGGCCCTGTGGCCAGTTCTGCTGCTGCGAAGTGCCCGGCTGTGAGTGGGTGAGGGCCCGGCCCCTGCAGGAGTGCACTGCGTGGTCCCCAACCCCCATGCTGGCTGCCTGGTCACCAGGGGGTGTGTCTGCCGGCAGGAGGATGCCATCGCTTACTACACGCGTCTGAAGGACAGGCTGACCGAGAGGATCACGGAGGAGGAGCGCCGGGTCCAGGAGAGGCCACTGGGGATGGCCTTCGTCACCTTCCAGGAGAAGTCCATGGCCACCTAGTGAGTGGGACCCTTCCCCAGCCAGGTCTGGTCCCACCGCAGGTGACTTGCTGTCCCTGTTGGATGCAGGTGGTCCTGCGGAACCCATCCCTCGGATTCGCTAGTGGCATTTCCATCTCCGTCCCCGGGTGTGGCTGGGGACGTTGCACACCCCCGGTCATCCCAGCCCATGTGTGTGTGATGGCTGGGCAGGGGTGACTCTTCTGAGCCCCTCTCGGCTTGACGCAGACTTACCTTCCTGCTGGGCTCTCACCAGCTGCCCCAGGGATCCTGTTGCCTCTGTCCAGTGTTCTGTCCGGCAGAACAGATGCTGCCCTCTTTCAGATGTCTACTCTGGACCACAGATCTTCTTCTGTGCCCGGGATGCCCATCCCTGTACAAATGCACCCCCCCGCAGGCACTCTGGGACTCCCTGTTGCTGAGCTGAGGCCTGGGGAGGGTTGCAGTTTGTAGGCTGGCATGGGGTGCTCACTCCCAAAGCAGTCCTGTGCCTGGGGTCGGGAGAGCGCTGGTGACAGCAGGTGGCCACACAGATGCCCCTTCCCCTGTCTTCTCTGTGGGCAGCATGGACCCAGGAACGGACCCTGCCTCAAGGCTAGAGCCAGGAGGGGACCCGTGGAAAGAGGGTGTTCTGAGGCAAGAGTGGGGGGTACAGAGATGGCAAGGGGTGAGGTGGCTGTCCTGGGGAGGGTGTCAGAGCAGAAAGGAGTGGGGGGAGGGCTGGTGAGACCCTGGTCTGGCCGCAGGATGTGCCCACCGTGCGCCAGTGTGCAGGGTGGGCACAGGGGGTGGCCCGGGGAAGAGCCGCGGATCGAGGCCATGCAACAGTGTGGGAGGCAGTCAGACGGAGGGGGCACACAGCTGGGTGGTGGAGCCTCAGTTTCTCTATCCGTGAAGCAGAAGTCCTCCCTGGCTTACCCAGTTGTTCTGGGGATTAGAATCCTCCCCAGAGTGTGCTAGGCATGGCTTTTCTTAGCATCACCTGTAATAAACTAATAAAGCCAAGGTCCCTTGCCCCGGGGGCCCCCCGCTCTCACTGGGTCCCATCTGCCATGTGTGTACGTGGTCCCCAGGCGTCCAGACAGACCCTGGCCACTTCTGCTTTCCCTGGCAGCATCCTGAAGGACTTTAATGCCTGTAAGTGTCAGAACCTGCGGTGCAAAGGGGAGCCCCAGCCGTCCTCCTGCAGCGGGGAGCTCCACACCTCCAAATGGACAGTGGCTTTTGCCACTTACCCCGAGGACATTTGCTGGTGAGCCCCTGGGGCAAGGCAGATGCCTGCTGGGGCTGCTGGGTCACTGGGAGTGGGCAGTCAGGGAGGCCGGCATGTATCCCCTGCTCCTCTCTGGACCAGGGCTGGGGTGGGGGGGGCGTGGTGTGTGTGCGGCAGGTGGGGGGAGGGCTTGTCCATGCCCTAGACTTCACTCCCATGAATCCAAACTATCCAAAATAGTATAATTTCTACACATGATCAGTTACTTTTCAGTTGAGATGTTTCTCTTTTTCATACTTAGTATCTTTGAAATGCAAGTATGTTACTTGGTTGGGACTGGGCCCTGCAAGACTCAGCGGCAGGGCTGGCTTCCGGCTCTTGTCCCCCGTCCCCCATCCACTGCCCTGGTACCGTGCAGGCTTTGGTCAGGTGACAGCCATCTGGCCTGGGGGACATGCGGGGGAGCTGAGCTGTGTCCACGAGGCCATCAGTGAGCTTGCAGCATGATGCAGGTGTGAGGACAGCCCCAGGAGAGGCCCAGTACAGTTGGCCTCAGTACTGCCTCCCCCTGCCGAGATCAACGTTTAGGTGCTCGTCCCCACCGGCCTCCGACAGTTCTGCTCCTTGTGTCACAGGGCTTACCAACCTTAGGGGTGGTTTGTCTGTTCGTGGCGGGGTGGGGCCCAGGCCCTGTTGTCCCCTGCCTCCCCCTCCCTGCACCCAGCCCCGGGCCCACTGGGGAGGATGTGTAACTAACTAGTCACCAGGGCTGTAGACATGGCTGGGCAGTCCTAGGCCGGAGCCTCGGTTTCCTGCCTGGGTGCTCACGGGACCTCTTTGGTGGGTTCTGGCCCTGACGCTGTGGCTGGGGAGCCATGCTCACCATGCATAACCTGCTTTCCCTCTGAGCTCAGAGGGACCCCAGATCTGACACGGCTGAAGCTGAGGATCTGTACAGAGTGCTTGCCTGTACCCCTGAGGTTGAAACAAGCCCCCCGCCGGAGTCCTCTGCACAGTGTCTTGCTGTGTCTCAATTTGACCCACTGACCCACCTACTCCGGAGCCGCTGCTGGCATGGCAGGCAGCCAGAGCCCAGGAGATAACCCTCCAGGGCCTGTGTTCTCCCTCTGCAGGAAGAACCTGTCCATCCAGGGCTTCCGCTGGTGGTTCCAGTGGCTGGGTATCAACTTCACGCTCTTCGTGGGACTGTTTTTTCTGACCACGCCCTCCATCATCCTCTCCACCATAGACAAGTTTAATGTCACCAAACCCATCCACGAGCTGAACGTGAGTGACTGTGCTGCAAGGCCTCTGCTGCGGGGAGGGTGGCGAGAAGGCGTAGTGGGCGGATCAGGAGCCAAGGGACGGCACTGACCTGGGAGCAGTGGTTCCGAGTTGAGGGGAGGCCAGGGGTGCAGGTGCATAGCGGACACTCCTGCCAGGGCCTCTGCCAGGCTGTCCTCATCCCCGCATCATGTTCCAGGTTCGCCAATGGCCCCGTGTACACAACTCCGCTCCCCCACGTGTCCCCCAGGCCAGACCGGTGGCTGACTCCTGTGTGGAAGGGTGCTGGGGGGACAGGTAGAAAGGAGTGACAAATGCTTCACGCATTGGGATGGCAGTTGTCCCTGTCATGTTCTGGCATCTAATAATCTTGTTACAAAACCATTGAGCCTAGATAGGAAACTGATGAAGTCTTAAAATCTTAGATAAATCCAGAATAGCCCTAAATGGTCATCTGCTTAAAAAGGCATTGGTTTCCCATAATTAGCTCTGCTGGACCCTAAGTCATTTTTCTTTTTTCCAATTCCTCTTGGCGTTCTGTGAGTCATGCTCTGGGAAAGCACACGGGGCTGGTCCTTGCTGTGCTGTCGCTGGCTGGTGAATTCTGAGCTTTGGATTTTCATCCAACAGCTGAAGTGAGAGCACCTGCCTCAGCACCCTCTCGGGCTGCGGGGCTGGACCCACCATGAGCTAATGTGTACTTGGAGCTCTCCTACCTGACGTGGTATGAGAATAAAGAAATACACAACGAACACTAAGCAGTTTTGCTTAGAATTAAAGCTGGTAAATGTTCATACCTTTGCCGATCTTGGGACGTGTGGCCAGGGCGTGTTCTTCAGAGGTGGACCGGTGGAGCGGAGCCCCGTTTTCTGTTCTGCATAAACCAGTTTGGGTTTCTTACAGTAAAATGGGGATCTACAGACACTGGCCATCATTCTTTGGACAGACCCCTCCCAGATCTCTGGTCCATGGCTGTTCTGTAGTTAATTTAGTCTCGTCTATTTCAGTAACATTTTTAAAAAAATATTTTATTTATTTATTTGACAGACAGAGATCACAAGTAGGCAGAGAGGCAGACAGAGAGAGAGGAAGGGAAGCAGGTTCCCTGTTGAGCAGGGAGCCCGATGTGGAGCTCGATCCCAGGACCCTGAGATCATGACCTCAGCCGAAGGCAGAGGCTTAACCCACTGAGCCACCCAGGCACCCCATCAGTAACATTTTAAAGAGATTTACTTATTTATTTGAGAGAGAGAGAGAGAGAGAGAGAGAGAGGGTGGGGAGGGGCAGAGGGGAGAGAGAATCCCAAGCAGACTCCACTGAGTGTGGAGTTTGACTCAGGGCTCTATCCCATGACCCAGAGGTGAAACCTGAAGTTAACCAGAAGTTGGAATCTCAAGCGACTGTAACACCCAGGTGCCCCTCATTCAGTAGCATTTTCTAGAAATTGGCCTTTATCGAGTTTCTGAAGTATGCCATTTGGTTTTCACCAGATTTTCTATGGTTATGCTCATTTTATCAGGGAAAGTGGTGAGTCTATGAGCCCATGTGATGATAATCGTGGGTGCTGTGGGCTTACACGGGATGGGGCCCCCACTGGGCAGGCGGGAGCTGAGTGGGTGGCTGCCCCAGGGCGCCCGGCTTCGGTGTGCCCACTTCCCTTGGCAGTCACTGCTGGTTGTGTATCGGGGGCCCCAGAGGTGATGGGGGCTGCCTGTGAAGTTCCTTGCTTCGCTTTGAAGAGCTTTACTCCTGTCCAGGCCGGTTATGGCCTCTTCGGCCAATGTCATGGGACACATACACCGTCCCAGGCCCGGTGTTGGCTCCGGGGGATGTCACCGTGTGGCGGTGCCCATGGCCCCTCCACCTGTCTCCTCCGTGGCCCTTGTTTTCCAGGACCCCATCATTAGCCAGTTCTTCCCGACCCTCCTGCTCTGGTCCTTCTCGGCCCTGCTCCCCACCGCCGTGTACTACTCCACACTGCTGGAGTCTCACTGGACCAAGTGAGTGAGCACCGCAAGTGCCCAGCCCCCACCCCCAGGGTAGGGCTCCCCCCCGCCTCCAGCAGGGGCCTTCCAGGCACCTGGAGCACCTGGGGGGCTGGGAGGACCCACCTACGGCTTCCTGCAGGTCTGGAGAGAACCGGATCATGATGTCAAAAGTCTACATATTTTTGATCTTCATGGTGCTGATCCTGCCTTCTCTGGGCCTCACCAGGTACCCCCTGCCGCCACCTCTCAGAGTTCACGTCGGTTGGTCCCCTTGGCCGGTTCCTGGTAGAGGGGAGATGGTCTGGGGGTGGGGCGTGCACATCCCTGACAACATCCACGCCTGTCCCGCCCACTCGGGGTGCTGTGGGGTTCACGGATTCTTCTGGAGATGAGGTCTCTTCCTTAAATGAAGCTTGAGAGCAAAACGGAGCTCGGACCTTCCCCGTAGGGAACGGAGAATCTGTTTTAAGGGAGGGAGTTGCTGGGAGAGCGGCCTGACCGGTTACTCTGCAGTTAAGTGGCGTCTTAGACAAGGAACGTGGACCTGGAGGTCCTTCCTGATGCTTTGAGCAGAAAAATGTGAAAACGCCTGGTAAGCGCAGCGAGCGCTGGACAGAAATTCTCATGGCACTCGTTTTTTTCCCCCCCAGTCTGGACTTTTTCTTCCGGTGGCTCTTTGACAAAACTTCCTCAGAAGGCTACATCAGGCTGGAGTAGGTGTCGGCCGCGCCGCATTTGGGAGCCACCGTCCCTGGGACACATCCCCCGGGGGCTCTGCTGGGGCGGTGGGGGGTGGGGTGGTCCAGAGCACACTCTGGGACAGTCCTCTCCTCCAGCGGCCTCAGGGCCCAGCACCTCCCCAGCACCCCTCCCAGCCCGGGCAGAGCCTTCGGTGGGCACCGGGGGGAGGGGATCCACTCTGTGCCAACTGTGTCTAAATGTGGGTCATCTCTGAGGGCGGAACTCCATTAGTGGTCATCTTGTTCGTTCTTTGAGACTTATTCCTGAGAATGGAGCCACTTGGGAAGGGAGGAATAATGAGCCCTGGAGGCTCCTTCCGTGGTGGGAGAGAGGCTCCCAGCCTCGGCTCACCCCCCACCCACCGGCGGCCCCGCAGGTGCGTCTTCCTGCCTGACCAGGGTGCCTTCTTTGTGAACTACGTCATCGCCTCGGCCTTCATCGGCAACGGGATGGAGCTGCTCCGGCTGCCAGGCCTGGTGCTCTACACCTTCCGCATGTTCATGGCCAAGACCGCAGCCGACCGCAGGAATGTCAAGCAGGTACAGGGGCGCGGTGGGCGGGGCCTGGATGTAGACTGCCCCCAGGACCCCAGTCTCCGTGCCATGCTGTGTGGCTCCATGGGGGGCCTGACCCTGAAGCCTGCGGGTTGGGGTCACTGTCTTTCTGTCCTGAGCACCCCTGATCAGAATGAGAGACACACGAAAGGCCCGCGAATCCTCATGGCCCTGGGTGGCCTGGGTGGGAGCCCGGCGAGGCTGGGGTTTTGTGGAGGGCAGAAGGGACCCCAAGAGGTGGGAGTAGCTGTGCACCTCCTGTTTCGGAAATTGTCCCCGTGCTGTCCCCCGGCAGCCCGGACTGAGCTCCTCGCCCCTCCACCCAGACCCAGGCCTTCCAGTACGAGTTCGGCGCCATGTACGCATGGGTGCTGTGTGTCTTCACGGTCATCATGGCCTACAGCATCACCTGCCCCATCATCGCACCCTTTGGTGAGTGGCTGGGGGTGGGGTGCTAGGTCACCCTCCGTCAGAACGGCTCTGTAGCGGACCACCCGCACTCAGCCAGGCCCGCACCACTGCACGCCTCCGGGATCTCGCCGCCACGTGCCACACGGGCTGCGAGGCAGGTGTGGTTTCTGTCCCCCTTTCACTGATGAAACCCAGTGATGAAGTGGGACGGAGTGAGGAGCAGACCTGGATTTGGACTGGGGACCGTTTGACCTTGGAGACCAAGGTCTTGCCACTAAAGTAAACATCAGGGTCCCAGGTTTTGGCACCAAAATATGTATATATTTATACATTAGACATACTACTTGGGTTCCAAATGGGCAGGCTGCGGAGCCAGTCCCGGGAAGCAGGAGGTGGTGGGCCCGTGGCTGGGGTGGCCCAGCTGGGTCTGCTGCTCACAGCCCCACCTCCGCAGGCCTCATCTACATCCTGCTCAAGCACATGGTGGACCGGCACAACCTCTACTTTGCTTACCTCCCGGCCAAGCTAGAGAAGAGGATCCACCTGGCAGCTGTGAACCAGGCTCTGGCTGCGCCCATCCTGTGCCTCTTCTGGCTCTGTTTCTTCTCCTTCCTGCGCCTGGGTGAGGGGCCCTTCTGACCAAGGCGGGCTGCGGGGGGAGGGGAGTGGGGCTCACGGTGCTGCGTGCACACCGGCTGGTCGGATTCCTCACTGGAGAGCCCTATCAGAACATGGGTCCCGGGCAAGGGCTGGTGGGGGCAGCAGGGCCAGAGCTGGCTGGAGCCCAGGGGACCCCAAGTCAGTGGAGAAACAGAGAAGGCCTGAACCAGAGAGGGCAAGCCGGTGTAGGCTGCCGTTTGGGGCGCGGGTGGGCCCAGGTCATCAGCACAGTGCAAAAGTGGGGGCCCATGGGAGGAGAAGTGGACACTCTCAGCTGATGAAAAAGGCAGAAGGATTGTGACCGAGCCCTGATCGGGTGAGGGGGCCTCCATCCCACCTAGCCCAGGGCATGGAGCTGCCAGGGAGCCGGCCCAGCAAGGAAGCGGGGCTTGGGGTCCCAGCTCCTGAAATCTGACCAGGGATGAGGCCAGCCATTCAGCGGGTCCCCCTCCGGCTGCTCCTGACTAGATGACACCCTCCTGGCCTCGGGAGAGTTCCCACGTGGTTGCCGCACCAGCTGCGGCCCCTCTTTCCCCCCAGCATGGCTGGCGTCCCTTTGTCCCCAGGTCTGAGGGCCCCCCTCACCCTGTTTACACTCCTGGTCGTGCTGCTCACCATCTTGGTCTGTGTGGCCTACACCTGCTTTGGATGTTTCAAGCACCTCAGCCCTCTGAACTACAGGGTAAGGGGTTCCACGGGGATGTGGGTGGGGAGGTGGTGGGGGCGGTCCCCACCTTGTCACAGCCCAGCCTGTCGGCAGTCTTGTCCATGTTTTGTTTATCCATGGGGAAGGCACGGGTGGGTGCGATGTGTGGCTTCCCTCCCCTCCCCACAACCCTGGCACGGCCCGCTCCCCCCACCTGCTGCAGGGAGCTTGGTGCCCGCCAGTACTGTCATCCCAGGGGGTAACGGTCGGTTTGTTCCAAGGCTGCTGGTTCAGGGAGATGGGTTTTGTTGATCATGGTGAGTTTTTGCTGTCATCCGCAGACGGAGGACTCGGGCAGTGACAGAGGAAGTGAGGCAGATGCCCCCAGGCCAGCAGCCTTCACGGTAAGTTCTCCTTCTTCCCCAGCCACCAGCCTGGGGGGCTCCCTGGGGCGGGGCTGGGGGGGCACAAAAGTGCCTCGATCACGTGTCAGCCACGGTTCCAGAAGGAGTCCCTAGTCCCATGGGATGCTTCACTAGCACTGGTAAAACCACATTCCAGAAGTGATCGCTGATGCCCATGAAGCCACATTTGGCCAAGATGCCGCCCCACCCCCTGGTTCTGGTTTTAGGCCCTGGTTCCTTCTCTGCAGGTTTCATGCCCGCTGCACTCAGGCCTCTCCCAGGGCAGTGTGGTAGGGGCCTGTGGCTGCGGAAGTGTGCAGGAAACGGGGTGGCCCCAGTGCCTGCCGTGGGAGGCCCCCAGGGGCCCTGCCAGAGACCCAGGGTAGAGCAGCCTTCTCTCCTGCCCCTGCCTTCCCTGGGCCAGGTGCTCCTGTGGCTGTGTGTCTGTCCTTGGACCAGCCCCAGTGGAGAGAGAGTTCTCAGAAAGATGCATTCCCGGAGGTCACCTGCCCCTGCAGACAGGGGAGGAAGCAGAACAAGTGGAGGGCCTGAGTCCCCTTCTTCACTGGGCTCTGGGGCCTCGCAGCAGGAAGCAGGGAAGGAGCGGGTTTGGAGTCTCATTCCCAGCTCCCCCTGCACCCCCTGCTCCAAGCACTCAGTTCCTCCTCCTCCCGTTTGCTGGCAGCCCTACGTGCCCCGGATTCTGAGCGGCCTGTCCTCAGAGAGAACAGCCCTGTCCCCGCAGCAGCAGCAGACCTATGGCGCCATCCACAGCATCAGTGAGACTGTCCCAGGGCCCCGGGGACAGTGACAGCAGCATACCTACCTACTAAGAGGCCTGAGGGCTGCTGGGCCAGGCTCGGAGCCAGGAGAGGAGACCCAGGCGGGAAGGTGGCTTGACTCAGGCCCCAGCCGAGCCCAGGATGACTTCCCACCGGTTTTAAGCACAGCTGCTCTTAAGCGATGGAACCGGAAAGGTGTTCTTGCCCTTGGCCGAGGGGGCAGGCTGGGACTGCCATTGGGTGGTGAGCGCTGGCCTTTCTGGCCACGGCAAAGGGGACGAGAGCTGAGCAGCTCAGAGCCCGGCTCATTTCCAGGTCCCCCTCCTGCACAAATGTCCAGCTCTGTAGCTGGGATGCCGTCCCTGGGGATTTTGGGCAGAATCCCATATTGGAATTGTGCACCCACAGCCCCATTGCTGTGGTGATGGAATCTGGTACGAGGGAGGACACGCGACTTGCCCAGCCCCAGAAGACCCCTCAACTAGCCAATAACCAAAAAGCCTGCAGCGGATCCCAGCTGGAGAGGGGTTCCAGACGATGGCTAGTGTCTAGCCCTCCCCCTCCGATCTGGGAGCTGCTGTGGGAACAGGCAGGCAGTGGGCCAGGCCGGGTTGGGTGGGCTGCAACCCTGGCTGGAAGGACAGGTGGCCCCTTCCTTTTTCTCCCTGTGGGGATGGGGGACTGGCAGCCTCCCACTGCCTCCAGGGGGTGCCAGAGGCACAAGGACCAGGTGGGTGGTGGACCAGGCCCCCTGCCACCCCCCCCCCCCACAGCAGCCCCATGCTCTGGGCAGCCAGGGACATGAGGAGGGGGTGGAGCGTCCCGGTGCCCCCCCCATCCCGGGCCTGTTCCACCCTTCCCAGTGGGACCACCCCCTCCCCAACCCAGACCCAACCTGCCAGCTGTACTGGGACGGCTCCCCATTTGGGACGGGTGTGCCCATGTCACCTGCTTCCAGCCATTCTTAGGAATAGATTCATTTATCATCACTGACATGCGTGTGGGAGCACTGGAGGGGGGCAGTGAGTAGGGGGCCAGCAGGGGCGGGGGACAGGTGTGGGGCGTACATCATTGCAAAGAGAAGAGGGGGTCTCCCTGCTCCTTGGGAGGGCCCTGGGGCGGGGAGGACAGCTGTCGGCCGGGGAGCCTGCGGGTGACAGCCAGCCCCACGGGCATCAGCGCTGCTCCAGCAGCCCCACGAATTTGCAGATGTCCTGGGCCAGCAGCTCTGGCTCCTCAAAGGCAGCAAAGTGCCCCCCGCGGGCCATGTAGGAATAGGAGACAAGTTTCGGATACTTGAACTTCACCCACTTTTCCGGCACATGCATTAACTCACAAGGGAAGGCAGCAAAGCCTGTGGGCACGTGGACCTTGATCCTAGAAGGACAGAGATCCCACTGAGAGGCAAGGTGGCATCCTGGTCCCCTTCTGTCCCCTGCAGCAGGGACTGGGGATGGGGGAGTGGGGTCTGTTTGCCCACCCACAGGGAGCCGGAAAGGACAGACCCAGGGTTCTAAACACACTCTTCAATTCCAACCCACTGGAGCCTCCTTCTGCGGAAGGGCCAGCTGCGCTGCAAAGTCTGGCCGTCAAAGACCCTCCCTGGGGGTCGAGCCTCTCGGGGTGGAGAGCCGGTGGTCTGACTGCTCCCGGTCCTGGAGGCACGTCAGCAGGCACCTGCTGCGGGCTTGGCCACACTCACCGGTCGTGCTTGTTGGCCATGAAGCCCTGGCCCAGGTTCTCCTTATAGAAGCGCTGGGAGGAGGCGATGGTGCCCGTTGTCCAGTAGAGCATGACATTGGTCAGCAGATCGTCCAGGGAGAACTTCCTGCAGAAACAGCCCCAGGAGGCCCCTCAGAGCCTGGCACGGCCTTCAGGCTGTGAGCCCTGGGGACCCCCACCCAGGGTCCTGCCTCCTGCTCAGACGCCCCAGGCAGGTGCATATTATCCCTGAGGCCAGGCAGGCTTGGACCTCCCCGCCCGGCATGGGAACCCACCCAGGCTGTGGGGCTCCACGCGTGCAGAGGAAAGAGCCATCTGGTTCTTACTGTGGGGGCACGTGGAAACCTGAAACCCCACATGCCACCCGGGCTCTGTCCTGCTCTTGCTCGGTCCCCTCATGCTACCCTGTGTCCAGAGGCCCCAGGAGCCCTCCATGGCCTCCCCTGTCCAGGTTGCTGGTGCCCACCACCTCTGCCCCCGAATGCCCTCCCCCTACTCATCTTCTGCCCCCTCAGCCTCCAGCCTTCCCTCCCAGAAAAGCCCCCCAATGCGCCCAGATCCACTAGCTTCACACCTTGCCCCCGCCCCCGCTATGATACCCCTTCAATGCCATCAGCCCTGTGCCTTCTGGCACCCAGACCCACCTGATGGTCCACAAACCCCAGGGGACACCAGCTCTGTGGAGCAGCTCCCCTCATGCCTTCCCTGCTCGATTCCAGATCTGGGGGCTTCGGAGAGCTCCGCCTCCCATGCTCATCCCTTCACTGGCCTCCTCCAGGGCCACTCTGCCTCCCCTGCCCACAGTCTGGGGTCCATACCACCCAGGCCTGCCTTCCTGTCACCCCTCTGGCCCCCTCTCTGCATCCCTGCAACTGTCAACCCACACTTGCCAACCCCTGTCCAGGTAGGGGCTTCCCACCAGATTCTGTCCTCCCCACCCCCCTGGGTGTTGCTTGCCCAGCCTGCTCATTCCCTCCGGAGCACAGAGAAAGTAATTTCCTCCCCTCGACCCCTCCCTGGGGCTCCGGACCACCCGTCTCAGTCCCTAACCAAGCAGGCACCTCCCACTCAGCAAGTCCACACCGGAAGCAGCCCGCATCTCTGCTGAGCCCCTGGCGGACACACACGCTCACAGATGCAAGTGCTCCCACACACACACGCTCACGTGTGTCTGTATCCAAATCCACGTGCACACTTCCACCATCCAAACGGGCACAGATGCTCCGAGGCTCCCCTCCTCATTCCCTAGTTCCTGCTTGATGAAGGGCATCCCTGCAGCCTGGTGGGGAGCTAGAAACTGCTCCTTCTGCTGCCGCCTCCCCCCACTCCCACTGAGCCCTGGCTGTCCCTGTTCCCCCTGACCCCCCACCGAGCCCTGGCTATCCTGCCATTCCTTGCCAAGGACATGCTGGTAGAACCTCTGCACCGCCAGGCCCTGCCCGGCGTGGGGCAGGGAATGGATCCCACCATGAGGGCTCATGCTTGGGCTCATGGTGTGGCCCCTGCATACCTGCCCCTATCCTCGGCAAAGTCAGTCTTTCCAAGAGCACCTCGCGTTTCTATGCCTCCCACCTTAGCTTCTGCTCTTCTCTCTGCCTCAACTCTCCTCCATCCTTTTCACCAGCAAACTCCCACTCACCCTTCAAGGTCCCAATCAAATAGATTCTCCCAGTCATTTCCCCTCCCTGCCCCAGAGACAGAGCAGATCCTCCTTTCTCCGGACTCGCACAGCCCGGGCTCATTTGTCCAGTGCGTGTTTGTCGAGCTCAAGCTTCCTTCTAGGTGCTGGGGCTAGAGCACTGCCTAGACACGGTCCCCACGTCCCAGGTGGGAGCCAGCCCCAGCTCACCCCACTCCCACCCCAGCACTGTGTCTGGTGCTCTGTGTGCCCCCACAGCAATGAAGAGAGAGATGGGTGCTGGAGAAGCTGAGTCAGGGCTGACCTTGATGGAGCCCGAGTCAGGCCAGAGGCCTGGAAGTCACGTACATACTCCCAGGCTCCCTGCAGCTGTCTCCAGGCCTGGCTTCCCCAGGGCACACGGTCAGGTGTAGACGCTGGGCTCTCGTGGGTTCTGGAGGGAAGGGGTCCCTGGCTGCTCGGACCTCTTGGCAATAAAGGGGGCTTGCTGCCCTCTGGACCCACTGATCCCAGGAGGGGACTGTTTAGCAAATGGACCATAGACATTCTCCAGCCCTGTATCCCGTTCCTGACCGCTCTACTATGAGGCTTGGAGAGAGTCGCTAGGCCTCTCTGTGCCTCTGCTCCCTCATCCAGAGGAACTGGGGCCATATTCACCAGGGCGAGGGTCCGAGGGGTACCCAGCCGTAGGTAGGACATGCTGGCTGGCGGCTAGACGGCAGTGTCTCACCTCTCCAGGCCTCCATCCTCCAGGTCTCGAAACTCTGGGTTGGTCCAGGTAGAAAACTTCTCCAGGATATAGGCAGCAAGGCCCACAGGGGAGTCGTTCAGAGCGCAGCCTGGGGTGGGGAGAAGCAAGGGAGGGACTGACTCGCGCCTGGGACCAGCTAGCAGTCAGGGCCCTGTGTTGGGGCACAGCGCTGCCCTTGCTCCTGGGGCACTCATGCACCCCCTATCTACTCGACCCTCGGCCTTGGAACGCTCATCTGAGAAAAAGGGGTAATGCTGTCCCCACTGCTCCTGGGTCTCTCCATGGCATGGGCAGCTTCCCACATTTGGGGAGACCCAGATGGGGTTTTGGGGTGCCTGGCTGGCTTGGTCCAAAGAGCATGCAACTCTTGATCTGAGGGTCGTGAGTTTCAGCCCCACGTTGAGTACAGAGATTAAATTAAAAAAACTAAAAAAAAAAAAATGGTTTTTTTTAGTTTATATGCTCTGATTCTTAAAAAGTAAGAAACAGCCTCAAAGTCCAAATTAGGGGAACAGTTCCAAATGCATCCTGACCCCCTCCAAACCCCAGAATCCTGGGGCTGCCAGGACTTAGCCTCAGGGTGCAGGGCTCAGGGGTCCAGACCCCGGGGCCCACCGAGTCCGCTCTGGCAGGTGTCTGCCTCGCCTGACCTCTGCCCAGCACTGCAGCCCGAGAACGAGCTCGGGTCCCTCCCGGGAGGATTCTGCCCATCCCCAGCAGCGTCACAGGGTTGGGTGAGGCCCCCTGGCCGGAAGCACGCACTAACCCACAGTGTCGGGCTTGGTACACTGGATATGCATGTAACCACTCTCCCTCAGCAAGCTGTAGAAAACCTTCTCCCTGAAGGGGAACAGCAGCTCCATATCCCTCTGTGTGTAGCCGAAAAGCCGCGGGAAACGCTGTCCCAGAAGAAGGGTCAGGATGCCAGGATTTACAATGAAAGCCATGTTCAAATGCAGGCCTTTCACGTGGCTGAGGGCAGAGAGAGGGTCTGGGTGAGGTTGGCGCAGGGCTGGGGGAGGGTAGATGAGCCCTCTGGCTATGGTGCCAGCCCTCTTGGAACCTG